TAATATCATCGACCGCGTACGTCTGAATGCCGCGTACGGAAGCCTTAAAAAATATGCAGGTTTTTTGACGGGAAAGCGGCCTCGGGAACCATGAAGGATAGAGAGCTGAAACTTTGCAAGGATATTCTTTTTGCATGTGTGAGCTAGTGATTTCAAACTCAGCCTTTAGGTGTGCGTGGCCTTCGTGTACAGGCATGTGAAAGTTTTGGCGAGAAAATTACTAACTCGAAATCACAAAAGCTGGAAGACTGAAATTTTAAGGACGTATTCCCCGTCCACGTGCAACTTGAAGATTTCAAATTCAGTCCTCTCTCCCGGTACGCGTGGTACTTACGTATAGGCACCTAATAGTTTTGGCGGGAAAATTACTAATTCAGGAGCCAGAAAAACTAAGAAGCTGAAATTTTGAAGGAATGTTCCCTGTTCAAATATAACTTAAATATTTCAAACTCAGTCTCCAGAAGTGCATGGTTCCTACGTACGAGCACTTAAAAGTTTTGGTGGGAGGGACCAATTGGTATCTGTTTAGCCGGATAAGGATAGTGCTCCAGCTGATATCTCTTAGTCAGATGGGATAGTCATGAGGTTACAAGCAGTAAATGAGACTGGGATATCCTGAAAATTTGTGCTTACAGCTGCAGGCAGTCTCGGCGTCCGCCGATCGAATCGTCGTGGAATTTGTAGTGGAAGAGGAGCATGTGAATAGCAAGAAAACATTACACGGTGGTCAGACAGCAGCTCTTGTGGATATGGTGACGGCTCGGGCAGTCGGTATGAGCGTTAGAGATCGAGCTATGGTCTCCGTAGAGCTTGCCGTCAGGTACTTTTACTCGTTTCAGAAGAAAAAATCACTTTTTCAAAAATTATATAAAATTAAATTATTGTAGAAATGAACCTTAGATGGTTTTATGGGTTTGAATGTTGCCTAGATCAGCTGTTGTTTCATCGTTATGTTTCTTCTCGCCAGCAATTTCTCAGTTTTTCTTCATTTTAGACCTTTCACATCTGCAGAGTTTTATCACTATAGACCATAATGGTGAAACGCCAAAGGAACTTCTTTACTGTTTAATATTTTTTTGACTTAAAACAGCCTAATTTCGGTTAATTCTTGGTTCATTTTGTTTTATAAATCTAACTTTGTTTATAATTTGTTTGTTATTATGCGTTTTTGCCTATATGCAAATTGCAAAAACGCATATTGAGACGACTCCGTCTGTGTGTGAGTATGTATGTGTGCATGTGTGTGTATGTGTATGTGTGTGTGTATATGTTTGTGTGTGTGTGTGTGTTCGTCTGTCCAGGTATTTCAACTCGGCAACCAAGCAAGTTCCAGCGCCGAGGTTTTGCTATTGGGTACCCCGGCCAAGTACCACCCCAGAACCGCGGTACCATCCCTCACGCACG